CAAACCCATAATTTAAAGCAGGGGTGTCAAACTCATGTCACAGCAGCATCACGTGACGTATCTGGACTTTTTCCCCATTCAATAACCAGGTGTGAATTACATAATACAAAGAACAAGTAGACTAAAACTAGTTGCTGTTTCAGGGGTGGGGGTGGGGGAATGAGACAGAGTAAAAAGACCTCTTCATTTTAAGAAAGGAATCAATATATGGGTATAAGAAATGGTTTACATGCTTCCTACCATTGTGTTCTTCAAAATGTCCTAAGATTTTAAAAAATATTTATTAAGTAGAAATTAAATAACTTGATCAGAAAATTACTTTTGAAACTGATGTCTTCTAACAAATTTTTACCTGTAGGGCCAACTGTAAGAGGATCTTAACCTCCAAAAAGTTATGCTAGATAGCATTGTTCACCTCACCTCATACCATCCCTGCCAGTGTGCCACTATTATCAGGATAAATTAATTCAATAGTGAATATTCAACAAGATTCAATCAGATAAATGCTAATTTGGAATGATTGAATTCAAGACTTATCAATGGGCAGTTGTAGAATTGGCTAAGAAGTAATTTAAAGTGGACTGAATTAATAACTAATATATCAATATCAGTTTAAGAGTAAACAGTAGTAAATTTAAATAAATTTAGTGGAGTTATAAATGTGACAAGCAATAGCAAGGTAGCGCTGGATGCTCACAGCAGACGTTTTATTCTTGAAAAAATATTCCCTTAAGGTCCAAAATAGTCATTAAAACCAGTGTACCTCTTCTTTGACATCTGTTAGAACAGAATGAGACCATTTAAAATCCCCAAAACATAATTGCATGGTGAAAAACTGTAGTAAATGAAGCAAAATTGTTTGGGGATTGTGTAAACAACCAATCAGATACCATTATTTTCCCATACCGTTGTAATATTTTCTAGGAAAGGTTAAAAAAACACTTTGTTTGAATGTACTTCTGTTTTTCAAATATTTCTAACAATCTCTAGAACTGATTATAAAATGTAAACATATTTTTTAAAATTGCAGAACTTTATGTTTTAAAAGGTTTGTTTTGGGTTAATTTAGTAAAGTATTAGTATTAACACTTCTAAACTTTCAATACTATGTGACACATATGAATGCACAAAGGACTAATTCTTTTGATATTACATTGATATACATATTATGGGATTAAAATATGCATTCTGTAACATACTGAACTCTAATCCCAATACTTTAGAGTTGATATACTTATTTGAGCTTTTGACAATGTATAGTATATGCTTTAAAAAAATTTCTCACTGGAGAAATTCCCTATTCACAAAAAAGTGCTTTATCTAAAATCAAATTGATAACTATGCTTTCTTTCACTTAAAAACGATGGTAATTAACTTTTTGCATTTTGTTGTCTTTCCAATTGTTTCATTTATTTTCATGAAATTATCTAATTTTAAAAATTTCAGACATGGACAGAAAGTAACATGTTGGAGATAACATGTTTCAGACTTTTGTGATCTGGAAAAATATGAAGAAATGTGGGATTAGAATGGGATTTATTGTATGTTACATCTTAATTTATTCAAACCAGGCAGTTGCCAAATAAAATTACTTGTCATGATGCTCTGTTGATGTATGTGTAGTACAGGGTGGTAGGGAACTGAAAAAGAAAGAGCACAATCTATAGCTGCTGCAGCTCCTGTTATATCACAAGGCACACAAAAAAAACCTACTGCTACTTGCAGTATGTAGATTCTGAGTATTTTATATTTTGCTGGATGAGAAAGTTAACATGAGTTCTCTACAGCAAATATAGAAAAATGAAAAAAAAAGGAATTCTACACACATATGCACATACATTCTTTTTTCTTCTCTCCATTTGTACTATTTTTGTATTTGCCCAATTATTATTGCCAGAGCTATGAGATGTGAAATAACTAGAGACTATCAACAAAACAGCTATGGCTCTTGCCAATAAAAATACAGAAATGGCCATTTGGAGTTAGGATAATTCTGTTTAGCTACTCCTTCCTTCCTTCCTTCCTTCCTTCCTTCCTTCCTTCCTCTGGTAATCATTAGCAAGTAACATTCCTCTGTTTAGGATAGTTCATCTTATCATAACTACTATTTGTAAAAATAATTTGATATTTGTTGTTTATCCTTAATAAAGAAATAATTTGAGATAAATCAGGAGTGCAGTATTTTATCTTAGGTATTTGCAAAATAGCATAATTGGATAAATTGAAGAGAGAAATGATGAGTCCAGTAAATCTCCTTTCTCAATGTTTTGCTGTAATTTGTTCATATATTCTGGGAAAATACAATTGTGTACCAAAATACAACCTCAGCAGGTTTTTTTAATATTTTTATTCATACAAAATGGAGACAACAATTAAAGTATTCCTTTCTACTTGAAGTCACATAACATAGTAAATTGGAAGCTAGGAACAGTGATGAGTGAATAATATACTAGGTTCCTCCCCCCCCCCAAAAAAATTCTAATAAATTAGAATTCTAACTCTTACAATTCTTCCTATAAATACAAGTTTCTATTTCTGCGACATATGAACTAATTAGATATGTGCTAAAAATGCCCTGACCTGATCCCCAGGTTAAGATTGCATTCTATTTCTTAACTTGAGATAAAAATTAAAAAATCATTTTTAAAATAATATTGTAGGAAACATTCAGTCCTAGATAGTGGCAGATATCTCTTTCCTGGGACTCAAAGAAAAAATATCTGCTGCAAACTCCTCACAGTGTCAGGAAGGGCATCTGCCCACTAAACGCTCAGCTCCATCCAGTTGCCCTGACTCTATCCCAAATTAAGGGATTACAGGGTCATAAAAAGGGAGTATATGTATGAATAAGTAAATAACAATCAGTAAGGTCATGTTCCGCAGGAAGGAAATACATTTTTTTGTATATTATTTGCTTGCTTGTTCAGCAAGGAGGCAGGTACTTAGGTTTGGCAGACTGCAGTGCTGCCAGTATGAATAACAGTGCAAGAACATTGGCAGGACTGAGATGAGGTTCCTGATGGCAGTCAGTTATGCTGTATCTCCTGATTATCTAGTTTATTATCTTGCCTAATTATTCCATCTATGTCCTGATTCTGCAACAAAGCACTGCGGTTTTCATAGAATTTTCAGCGGTCAGAAGTCATTGTGTAATCCTTGATTCCTTATTGATTGCTCTCATCTTGTAGTGATAGAAATAATGAGAATGGGCAGTCAAGTTGCCATGCACCTGACCTGAGCTCATCAGTAAATCATGCTTCGTAGCTCAATATATGCTTCATAGCTTGACTCAATTCTACTCTTTGGTTTGACTTGGCAAAAATCACAGCTTGCTTGATTAAAATCATTATAGCAGGCAAAAATGAAGTTATATACAATAGTTGATGACCCATGGCAAGTGCCAGGGACAGGAAAGGCTTACAATCTCACAGGGCTAAAACTTCACGGTTCAGATATTTTAGATTTACATAACTGCCATCTCTGACCTGGGAATCATTGATTTCTGGCTTTGCCTATCTTAACCTTAAACTTTAGTCTGTATTAAATAGTTGTTGACCCTGATCTGGAAATATATGTCAGACATAGAGATTCCAGTATAACCCCCCTCTCTGTTCTTCTTCCATGTAAAGAAATGTGTTGAGATTTAGAGATTCTTTTCTGTGAACTGCTCTGAAGCAGCTTGCCATTAATGCATTCTAGAGCTATGCAAAAGAACATAATATTTGCACTTCTGGTGATTTACTTTGAAAGTTATTGCACAGTTTGAATAGAATATAAAGAAATGTTGCTTAGTAGAAAAAAATCTAATTGTTTTGAGATTATTTTAAACCTAAAGAAAGGATTTATTGTCTTTATTTATATTGCTTGATTCCACGTGGTTCAAATACAAAGACAATTAGCTTAAATTGAGACATAATTACTGAAGTAATTCACTATCCTTGCTGCTGATCTAGACTTACCATGGGAAGAGAAAGCGACTAGGAACAGATGGCAATGTATATATTTTCTTCATTACTGTAATAGTTACGCAGGTCAGAAATCCATTGAAGATAGAAAAATGTATAAACTCGAGCTACATTAACAAAAGTGTCATAGGCGTTTCTATTAAAATATCTGTTTGCTAAATACCAATCATTTCTATAAAGTATCATTTGGACTTGTTTCCTGGGAGCTATTTCATTTAAGCAGATTTCCCAAGGAACTAATGGATGCAGTTTTTCTGTTTATTAGTTGATGAAATCAGAGGCATATGCTCATTGCTCACAAGAAAAAGCTTTTCTGTTTTAAAAGAATTGTAATAAAAACAGTTTTATGTACTGTTAGGAAAAAGAGTATCTGTGCACACACAAGTGGATTTTTTCCACTAACACACCAATTTAACCAAATTCCATGGCTAAGCCTAGATGAATAGAGTTTTCAAAATCTATTCTGGTTTCATGACATTCAATCCCATTACTCAGGGAACAATATTGAATTACGAATACGAGACTGACAACATCATTTTAAAAATTAGGAGAATGTAGAAACATTATTAGATCTCTTAGACTCTCTTCTAAGAAAGATTACTTTATATACTTGATTTTCTAGTCATTTGGTCAGTCTTGATATCCAGCGTCCTAAACAATTGTTCCTTTAGAATCTTTTTTAGTATATAACTTAATGAAAGATTGTCCATTACCAATCACTTATTTCCCTATTTGTAATTTTATCTTTAGAGAAAAGTCTATGAGAAATCCTAAATAAAATATTTGATTTATTTTTCTCTAGTCCATTACACTTTGAAATTTACATTATGCTGTCATTAGCCTTTAATTTATTCTCTTGTCTTTTCTTCCCTTTCCTCTTCTCCTCTCTGTGCCTATAATCTTAAAGCTTCTGTGCATTTCTGTGAGAGCTTATAAGATGCAGAACTTTTTAAAAAGAATATTTATATTTTTTAAAAATCACAGGAATAAATAACTATGTGTTAAAGTAAATCATAGGTGTAAAATAGGAGATACCTGACTCAACAGTAGTAACTGTGAGAGGGTCCTCGTGGATCACTTCTTAAATGCCATGGAGGCCTAGGAATCTGGGTGCGATTATGACTGGAGCCAGCTCCTGAGAGATCCTTGGAGGCAAGCAGTCAGACTTGAGAGCACCAGGAAGAACAGTCAACTGAGCAAGCAGAGTAAGTGAAGCCAGCCAGCAGGCAGAGGGAATTGTTATGCAATGAAGAAGATGAATTTCTACTGCCATTATGCAATGAGGAAAACAGGCTGCTACCCGATGCAAGGGCACATAGAGCAGAGGTTGGTGAGTTTACTCGTTAGAAAGCAGCTTCACCTTCCTAAATGAGACCAGGGTATTTTTACTTAAGGGGAGCTTTGAGTTAGAACTGATATTGGAAACCATCCTTTACTGCAATTCTCTGTGCCTTTTCTTGCCTCACTCCTTTGCCTTGTGATTTTGAAACTGGTCAGTGGACAGCCCTGGGCATTGGACTCCCGAACCATTTGACCAGTCATGTACCTGATCCCCTGGACTTGGAACTCCTTATCTATGCAGGTTACTAAACTGGTGGAAATTTGATAGCTTTGTGTGCATTAGCATATGACATTTGTTGCTTGTTGTACTCTAAGTGAAAGTTTGCAACTGTGTGTATGTGTGCACACACATGTACTTGCACTGAGACAGGACATTACGTTTGAGTCAAGAGTGTGCTGCAGCTGCCAAAAAAGCCAACACAGAGGGATAGCATCAAGATATGGGAAGTGCTATTACCGCTTTATAGTGCACTGAGATCACATTTGGAATACTGCATCCAGTTCTGGTCACCACAATTCAAAAATGATGCTGAGACCCTAGAGAGACTGCAGAGAAGAGCATCAAAGATGATAAAGGGTCTAAGGCTAAATCAAATGATGAATGGCTAAAGGAGTTAGGTATGTTTAGCCTAATGAAGAGAAGACCCGGGAGACATGATAGCAGCCTTCTAATACTTGAATGGCTATCACAGGGAAGAGGACATTGATTTATTCTCCAAAGCACCGGAGTGCAGGACAAGAGGCATTGGGTAGAAGCTTGTCAGAGGGGGATTCAACTCAACCTGGTAATAAGGAAGAATTTCCTGACAGTAAGAACAAGTAAGTCTCCCAGAATTATGAGTGCTCCATTGCTGGATGTTTTCAAGAAAAGATTGGACAGCCATTTGTTCTGGATGGTATAAGAACTCCTCGATTAGAAAAACCTCCAAGGTCCCTTCCAGCCCTATGATTCACTTTTTCTATGAATCTATTATAAACTTTTGTCTAATGCATCTGATATCTACTAAAACAACTCCCTTTGGTTCAATGGATATCATACTGTATTAACTAATGTCACCAGATAGCAAAATATATTTTCTTTGTACAGAATGTTTCTGACACATGAATTACTTGGCAAAAATTTCAATTATATTTTAGAAAATTATATTTAAGAGTACAGATATTTCTTAATTCTCAGGTAAGATACTAAAGAATACATTAGATTAATTTGGTTTGTATCATCACAACTAGCATTTTGTTCAGTAGATTTCAGGTTGTTTAAATTGTATAAATTTGCTGAAACAATCCCTTAAGATTTCCCTCCTAACTGTTAGGAGCTAACCTAAGAGAATGAAGTGGTAGATAGTTTCTGCCTTTTAGGATCAACCATGGACAGTAAAGGAACAAGTAGTCCATAATATACCATAGACTCTTAGCCATTAGTAGGACAGCTATGAAGGCCTTGGGAAATTTATCCAGATGCCATAATGTTTCCAAATCTATTGCAAAAAATTTAATGCAAGATTACAAGCAATGGCATTTACCTGTGTCACTCTATGGAAATAAAAATTGGTTTGTGAAGGAGCAGGATATAAAGAATATTCTTTCTGAAGATTGGTATTGGATAAAACTCCTGAGAATATCCTGGACAGCCAAGAAAACAAAGATATCATTGAACAATCAAACTAAAATATTCTCAAGGCACAAATTACCAGGCTCAAATATCTTACTTTAGACACATTATGTGAAAACATAACTCTCTAGAAAAGGTTTTGATGCTGGGAAAGATGAATAAGAAAAGAAGAAGAAAAAGGACAGCAGCAAATTGTATCACTCAGTTACAGTGGTGATGATTGTGCCTACATGACCAAATTAGGGACAGATTGTCATGAAAATAATCTATAATCTATGTGGTTACTATGAGTTTAATGGCACATAATCAAATCAAGTCAACCTAAAAGTCTATGATGGTAGAATAAATACTATATAAAATACCTTATGGATAGTCCTCAATTTATAGCCATCATTGGTACTAGAATTTCCATTATTAAGCATGGAGGTTCTTAAGTGAGCTGTGCCCACTTTTATAACCTTTTTTCGCCACAATTGTTAAGTGAATCACTGCAGCTATTAAATGAAACTTACAGTCATTAAGCATTAAGAATCCAGGTGCCCCCATTAGAAGTTGCTTGGGAAGGTCACAAATGGAATCACATGATACCAAATCTTTGCAAACATTGTAAATACATGCTGGTAGCCAACCACCTGAATTTTGATCATATGACCTTGGGAATGCTGGTTGTAAGTACAAGGACCAGTAATTAGTCACTTTTTTCCAGTGCTGTTGTAACTTTGAATGGTCACAAGGCAAATAGCTGTAAGTCGGCTACTTGTGTGTATATGTTAAAAAATAAATAGGATTTATTGTGCAGTTGTAGAGTCTAATGCTTATGACATCTTTCCGTTCTTGCCTGAAAGGAATCTAGGATGTATTTGTATTGCAATGAGAGCAACATCATAGCAATTTTTAAGAAAAAGAATTTATATTCCTGCATAAAATATGTACATAAATGTTTCTTTACAACTGTATGATTCTGTTACTACTTTTCACATAACAGTATGAATACAGTGTGAAACGATTATGGCTAAGTAGCAGGATCTAAACCATTATTGGGTATATTATAGTAACTTTGCATTGAAGAGTGTAAAAAATAATTCCAGTGCTATAAAAGATACTCCTCAACACAATCATTCATTTAGTGACTATTTGGAATTAGAACAGCACTGGAAAAAAATGACTTTTAACTGTTTTTCACATTTACAACCATTGCAGCATCCCCATTGTCATGTGATCAAAATCCAGATGATTGGCAATTAGCATGTATTTATGATGGTTGCAGTGTCCTGAGGTCAGTGTTGTGGCCCATCGGCAGCCATCAGAGCTGGCAGCAGAGTTGGACAGTGAGGAGGTTGGGGAGGAACATGGGCCAGTCCTGGGGGTTGAGGAAAGCTCAGATGAGGGCTCTGCATCAGAGACAGAGAGGGAGTTAGACAGCAATGAGGCAGAAGAATAGCTGGAGCCATTCCCAGTGTGCTCATGCACAGAGCTGCCAGAAGACAAGAACAACTAAGAAAGTAGGGTCAACTTAAGAATAAGTCGACCCTACTTATTCTTGGAGGTGAATGGCCCCTCCCAGAGGAAATAAAAAAGGAACAGGGAGTGGGCTTTTGCAGGAAACAATTCATTCATTTGGTCTGGAAAATTCTGTTTGTGATTATAAGAGATTATGCCAAGTTTTGCTTTGCCCTGTGTTTGAAAACTAGTTATCTGGCAGCACTCTAAATGAGATAAAGTTTGTGTGGATAAACATTCCTCTGAAAGACTGTTTACTAAAGCCTTGCTGACTGTGAACGAAAGGAATCCAGTCGTGTAAATAAAAGAGGTTTTGTCAGGATCAAGACTTTGCTTCTTGCCTTCTAAGGAAGCTTGGGTCAGAACAGTCAGATGATCACCTTTTGCAACCTTCTGACAAGTAAAATCAACGAGGAAACCAGATAAACTTAACAATCATATTACTTACTTAACAACTGCAGTGATTTGCTCAACAACTGCAGCAAGAAAAATGGGAAAATGGGGCAAAAGTTACTTAACAACGCTCTTACTAAGCAACAGAAATTGTGGAATCAATTGTGGTTGTAAGTTGAGGAAGACTACTTGTGCCAAGCATGAATTTATGATCATTAACCAAAATAATGAAGATATAAATTGTGTCAACTTCATTATAATAAAAAACAGCATATATGATAAATATGGCATTGTTAAATGTTTCAGGTGACATGTGTTTTGTATACACACATTTCCACATAAACATACAAACAGTGACTATCCTCTCATTTAAGTGTTCTATTTACTTACTTTTTGTAATACTGGATTATCTTCATTCCCATGAGCTAATATTTATTAAGAAGTGAACTGATATTATTATCTGAAATAAATGTGTATTTTCTCATGTGATTCATCCTGTAAAATGTTCTGATCCTCTTTATCATTCAGAATTATAAATAGGCCTTGGTTGTTTCTCAGTTTACCCCTGTCTCATCTGATTTTCTCATTGAAACTATTATTATTAAGTATATTGAACACTTATGCTGTTCCCTGGAGTGCTTCACTCAACTAGTTTCCACTCTAAAGCAGTCATTAATTACAACTCTTTGTAATATCACTTACCTAATTTTTAATCCACAACAGGATTTTAGCTCTCTACCCTGTGGTAATTTTTTATAACAATCTCATCAAAGCTTTCCACCATTTAAATAAATAAATTACTTTAAAGGATCTTTTGTTTTCTCCTTAACTTTCTATATCCAACAAATATGTATTAAACAGACTGGATTTTTAGAAAGACTTTACGAATCTATACTTGGGCAAGTAACATATTATTCTGACCTGAAATATGTTCTGATACAACTATGCCATCAGTTTTTAATTTCAGTGCTCACAGCAATATTGCCACTTACAATAATGTTTAGGAAAAAATTAGTCAACACAGGTAATCCTCAATTTACAACCACAATTGAGCCAAAATTTATGTCGTTAAGTAAGACATTTGTTATGTGAGGTTTGCCCCATTTTATGACCTTTCTTGCCACATTTATTAAGTGAATCACCACAATTGTTAAAATAGTAACATGGTTGTTAAGTAAATTTGCTTGTCAGTAGGTTGCAAAAGATGATAACATGACCTCATTGAAACTATTATTATTAAGTATATCGGCATGGCAACTGTCATAAATATGAATCTGTTGCAAGTGTCTGGATTTTGATCATGTGATCATGGTGCAGCAGTCATATGAAAAATGGTCATTAGTCATCACTTTTTTCTATGTTTTAACTTCGAATGGTCACTATGCAAACTGATGTAAATTGAGGACTACATGTATTGCCATTTAAGGTTGCCAATTAAAATTCTTCAGGACAATGTACTTGAAATTCCCAGTACCCTAGTCTTTTGATTTGCTCTTATGCTATAGAATACATGTATCATACTGTATTAAAGAACCACCTGTTCCATCTTTTTTATAAAGGTCAATGTAAATAGCTCAGTTCTTCCCAAAAG